CAGGAACCGACAGCCGACTTGCATGCACAGCCTCTTTGGTATAAGAGTGCAGAAATCTGACGAAAATAATGATTAAACACGCGTGCGATAGTGAAAATCCCAACTAGAACCACTACACGCAACAACGCGCCTGCATGACTTGGTTCGAAGCGTTCGCGCCCGTCCCCCATCGTCGAAGGAGCACCCCCAGCAGCTCCGACAGCGCCAAGACGCTATCCGCATCGTAAGCGTGAGGCCTGTCAGCGGGGTCGACAACGCCTCCCCGCCCTCTTCCACCACCGCCGCCGCCCACGGTGGTCCCCGAACCTGCTGCCCCTCCCCCCCCCCCACCTCCTCCTCCTCCCGCGGGGCCGCCGCTCTTCGACTGCTGCTGCCCCTGCCCCATTGCCGCTGCCCGAGAGGCAGCGCTGGCGTTGATGAGGCCGCTGCTGGAGCCGTCAGGAGGGAGGGTGGGAGCAGCCGCGGCGGCGGCGGCCGCGGCGTTGCTCATGGCGGAAGAAGACGGTTGTTGCGGCTGATCGGGGGAGCTGAACCACTTCTTGCTAGTCTTGAGGAGTTTCTCGGCCCACTTGGAGACGAACCCTCGGTTTGCCTGGGGACCGAGAGAGCGACCGTACAGGAGGTGGGGTGGATACGGGGGACCCAGGGGTGTGTGAAGCGGGAGCGAGATAAAAAAATATCGTGCTTCGAAGAAGCGCAAGAAGATACCGACTCAACGTTGAAACATGAGGAATGAGAACACAACAAACACCTCTTGCCCCTCCGCATGAGACAACAACAACAACAACAACAACAGCGACCCCCCGTGAACCCACCCACCTCTGCCCTATGACTTTGGACACTGGCCACGGCCAGGTTCGCGGCGTTAGACTCGAGGACCTCCTTGTTCTCGAGGCGCTCGGCCTCTGTGCACCTCTGGAGCGATTTCTCGTTTACCCCGTCCAGGGCCAGCATGCTCGCCGACCTCACCCAGCGGTCGGACACCAGCAGCCGCACCTGTGGTCATATGCCCGCGCGAGGGGTTGATGGTCGCGGCAGCAAGGTGGTGGTGAACAACGGCGTCAGTAAGACGAGGGGGTCGGGGGGACACGTAGCGAACGATGTCAGCGCATTTACGTCTTCCGTGTGCTTCTTCAAGTGTCAGTTATTCTTGCGTGGCGCGGTCGCAGCCTATATCCACTTCGCGCCGGCAGCAACATCTAATTTTGTCGCTACCGTCTCGTCGTGTACGTCGATTTGAAAATCACCAAGCAGACATGAGCGGCAAAACAAGGAAAAAAGTTGTTGAGAGACGTTTTTCGTTCGATTCTTCTGGTGCACCACGACATACCTGGTCCTGCACCGCCTGTGGCACGGCAAGCGCTGTCATCGAAGTCCCGCCGCTGCCGCCCCCAGACGCCCCGTCCTGGCTCTGCCAGGTGATGGCCTGTCTGTCGGTGAGCAGACTCTCGGGTATCGCCTGCGATATGCGCGGGGGACGAAAGGGGATAGAGAAACGTGGGACGCAAAAGGAAGACCAGGGGGGCGGAATGCCGTTCGGATAAAACGAGGCAACGGTTTCACGCCCATCGCAGTGCCAAACACACACACCAGGAACACAGCCCATTGTAAAGATGCCATTTACTACCATCCGCTACGGTGCGGAGATACGTGGCAATTCCACACACACCCCCCTCCCCCCTCCGACTACGGCATGCACCTCTGGGCAATGGGTTTTCGTCGCTTGGCAACGACGCTATTCAACAAGCCGATCACTTCGTGAGCTCGGCAACCAAGTTACCGCTTTATTTTGCCTCTTTTTTTTTTGCGGTAACCATGAATGGTGGTCGAGTAGATTATGTTGTGCGGGGTCGAGAACCCTCACTCCGTGCAAAGGGGATGGTCGCACCACGTTGTGATACATTGGTCAAGCACCCGTCGAGGCAGTTACACAATGCTTATAACTGTCTCTGGAAGTGGAAGCACCAGAAAAAAAATGAAGTCATATGCAGCTGTCATCCGTACGCAAGGAAGTAAGCACATGACGCCGAACACCCTTAGCAGGATGCAGCTCACCCTTCATGCGACTCGCCGAATACCTCACGGCGCTTCGCGCTTGGTGATGTGAGAGCCTGGTCCGGTGAGAACCCGGCGTGCTCCGTCCCGGCTTTGTAGGGATGAGAGGTCAATGGTCTAACGACTACGGCATGGACGACTACGAGGACCCCCCCCCGCCCCTCCCTGTTTATCGTCTCACCCGAAGCTCCAGCAAGCTGGTCACCGCCCGCATGAACTCCCGCTGCCCTCGTCGCGCTGCCGAGGCCGTCATCGGTCCGCCGGCATCGATTCCGCCCCCTCCCCCACCCCCGCCGCCGCCTTCCACCGAGATCTTTGTTCCCATCGCCACGACGTTGCCGAGGAGAAACGCCTCCGTCGAGCAGCAAGACACGGGCGGGGGGGGGAGATGAAACGCCCCCCAGTGGCCGGCGCCGCCGGCGCCACCCCGACTCCTCCTCTTCCCCTCCTCGGCACCAGGATCGGATGCACCAGCGGCGGCACCTTTCGCTCTGCCTTTTCCCCCGCCCTCGCCGTCGGCGGCGGCGTAGGCGGCGGCGGCCACCATCTCCACTCGGAAATCTCTGAGGCAGTCGAAGAACGCCTCCGCCCGCTCCTTGAGCAAGAGGTTGACACCGTCGACGCCTAGCCTGGACGGCAGGAGCGGCACCGACAGGATCTCCGCCACGAACGACGCGCGGAGCGGGACCGCGGCGGCGGCAGCTGACGGCGGCGGTGGTGATCGGGAGAGAGGTGCAGCGGCGAGGGCGACGGTGGCGGCAGGGGAAAGGCTTCCAACCGCGTCGAGTGCCTGGCGGCGGAGGCGGAGGCGGAGTTGCCGGCGCACAAAACACGCGAACATCAGGCGTGGATGTGGACGAGAGCGTGAGCGGGGTGGTGGGGCGAGAAAAGTCATCCGACCATAGTGCCCGGCAAGCACTTGTTCCGCAAAAAAGAAGGTGCACCCACCACAATATAGACGGGGAAGAACGGATGTCGAAGAGTATGCGAACGCGAACATCGGGCCACCGAACCCTTCAAATACACACACACAAGCGTGTGGGGTTAGATTAAGTATCGCGCTAAATGCAAATCACATCGTCGTGGGGCATCCTAATATATTAACTCTGGTCGACACAAACCAAAGAATCACACAAAAAAACACATACGAAGCCATGCAACGACAGATAACACAGCACTTCACGAGACAGAAGAAAGAGTCACCACATACCGTCAACGCCAGCTCCCAGGACCCAACAATCGCTCCCTGTCGCCCGGGGGCCGGCTTCAATTGTGTCGTTGTGCCGGCTGAAGCGATCGCCTTTCGCTCAGTAGGGCCCCCGATGAGTACGTTCCTCAGGGCGGAAAATAGACCCAGCTCGAACACCTAAATTGATTCCCGTAAAATGGCAAAACAACAGCAGTCAGCTGTGTGTTGTATCCGGGGGTGCCGTGGGGTGCCATGTGTGTGTGGGCGGAGTCCACTCTTCTCGCGGCGGCGCCCAAGACATCGGTTTGGGGGAGTGCTACCCCTCGGTCACACAACCATCCCGCGCTGCCCGCCAGAGGTTCTTCTCAAAAAATGGAACGGGCGTAGTCCAAGCCGAAAATACTTGGGGGGCAAACATGGGTAGCAAGCACGCAACACACAGCACCCAGCTTCCCAACAATCCTTGTCAAGAAACGCCATTCTTTCTCACCAGAAGCTCCAAGCAGCACCGCGAAACCGCCGCCCTGGCCTCGACAGCTGGGGGAGTCATCGCCGGCTCGGGCATACCGCTGGGGCACGCCACGTGGCCCCTGCTCCCCGTCAGCATGAGCAGGACCTTGAGAGGGCTATTGCCGTCGCTCACGCCCTGAATGGGGGGGGGGTGAACCGTGAGGGTAACGGGCAGGGAGGTACGTATGCTTGGCGTGCCCCCCTTCTCGCAGGCGACTTTGGTTTCAGTGACGCACAAAACGACAGAGCTGCCGATGTCAAGAGAGTCGTTTTTCCCGCGGCAGGAGCAAGAAACTCATCCAAAAACCCGGCACCACCGACTATGACAGCGCACGCTTTGCAGGACACACACGCGGTTAATCGTGTAAAAAAAAGGCCTCACCTTGTTCAGCTCCCTCTCGGTGTGGTCCAGGCATGCAGCGAGCAGCCTCCGGAGGCGGAGCCTGAGAGCCGGGTCCGCAGACGTTGCCGTTGTCCCTCTCCCCGCCGCGCTAGCGGGCTCGGCGACGATGCCGGCGAGGTGCGCAGCCGGATTCAAGGACGAGTCTGCCTGCAAGACGCAGAGGGTCAGCACTGACTCGCAGAAAAGGCAGAGTCGGGCGGAATCCTGCGTACAAACACAGGAGCGCGACGCGAGATGAGGGGGGCGGGGGTGGGAGAGGGTCCGGACAAGGTAGGGCGGGGAGTAGGGCGGTTCGATGGAAGCAGGCTAGGCTAGGCCGTGCGTGTGTCGCACACATGGAATGGAAATCTTCTACCTATGGCGTACATGGAATGGAAATCTGCGTGTACTTGGTGTGCTGCTGGTGTACAGAGGGGGGAAAAACGCCCTCCCTTCCCCGCATCGATTCGCCCACGAGGGCCTAGCAGAGACCCATCCTTCAACTTGGTGCTCTGCATGTGTCGTCGTTTCTCTCTCTCTGTACGACGAACGAGATAGCAAAAGCACTGCTGGTCAAACGGACATGCTTGTCAAAGGCAACGCGTCAAGCAACGCAACAGCAGTCAAGCTCTGAGCACCTCTGTTTGCTGTTTCCGACCTGTTCTCTCCGATAAAAGAAAAGGAGCTGCTGAAGGGCCATCAGGACGAACTTCACCGGAGGCATGAACGGAATACCCCTGCCATCACGTCAGAAAGCGGGGAGGGCGGGGGGGCGGGCGGGTGAACGGAGAGGGGGGCAAGGGTGAGAATACAACAAGAATACCCAGTTTCAATATGGACAGGTACTGTGCGTTTTCTGTTGGATGCATCTCAGGTATTCGGGCGTAAAACACTGCCTGCAGTGTGTGGCACCTTGGCTCAGAGTCCATAAATCAAGACTGTATCGGGAAAATTTTCAAACCAAACCAAATGTAATCCAACGCTCAACTATGTAGGAACTCACCGAGCGACAAGCGTCTGCTGGAGCTTTCCGAAGTCGGACATCTTCCTGTCCCAGTCCGCCCGCTCCGAACCACGGGCTGCCCCCGCCGCTGATTGCCCGCGGAACCAGCTCTGAATGGATACCGCCTGGCCGCGCGAGGCTCTCGCTTTCTCGCGCTGAGCGCGCTCTCGCCTCGCCTTTTCGAGAACCTCATCTCTGCCCTCGCTCCCTCGAGACGAGCTATCATATGCAGTTGTTGGGCCGGAGCCGGGCGGTGGGGCAGGTAGGTGGACGTCGCGGCGTAAAGGGGATGCTTTGTAAGGCTAGAAACAAAGCCTTTGCTCCGTACGAGCTGCACTAGGAAGCATCGAACACACAAAGATGCAGCTTCCACACACAAAGATAAACCTACACACACAATGACACGACAACATCTGAAAAGGTTATGCATAAAGACAGAGGAGCCTTAGCCATAGACCGAGCAATGATTCTCCGATACAATACGTCATCCATCCCTACTGAAGAAAACGACCACAAGAGTCGCCATCGCCAGCCTGGGGTGGGGGGGCGGGTTACATACGTCGGTCGACCTGTGGCCTAACTAACTAAACTGCTGCAATTACTTGTGCTTCTTGTCGCAGCACTCAAGTGCAGCGTCCTCACCCCAAGCAAAAAAGCAGCTGCAGCTGCAAAAAAGTCCAGTCTTTGGCAGGCGTCACTTAACCTTCACACAGCTCAGCGAATGAAGACTTCAACATATCCCGGTTAGGATGGACACAGGCGTACGATTTCTCTGAACAGATTGAGACAAAACCTACCACTGCGACGCGATGGGCACAAGCCTCACGAAGTATCCATCACGACAACAACGAACATAACCCCCCCCCCAACATATGAAGCTCTCCTAGAACCCCACCATTGCTGTTACAGAACTGCCGCCTGTGAGAACCTAATTGACTGCTGTGTTTTGTGCGTGTCTACAGCAGTACCAGCAAGATGCGGCACGATTATTTCGTGATGCAATCGACTTATTGTCATCAACGCTGACACGCTCACCGACCCTGACGTCTCGATCCCAGCTTGAGATCCTTATCCGTTCTAAACATGACGGAAACTGGCAGCGATGAATGCGTGTGCGCGCAGCTGTGGGACCCGTGTGTCTGTCTTCAATCTGATCTGCAACACCCAGCGGCAGCCCGCAGCACAGCAGTAGTGCGGGTGGGGAATATGAGGGTTACCCTACGTTCCCGAAAAGTAATGTGCGGAGCCCCAGACTGGCTCTCTGCTCTCTGCTAAGCTCTGTGCACACAGATAGTGCTGTCTCTAGCACGGTGCCTTATGCTGGAGCTCTCTGCACATAACAGACAGACGCAGATTCTTGTTCTTACCCAATCGCCATTACAGGCATGCCACGAGACGATCTGGAGACGCTAGCTCGAATACTTGAGGATGTGGAACAGCGGTGAGTGTCGGTGCGTCGGTGCTCATGCCGGGACACGGGACTGTCGAAAAACGAGGCAGAATCTTGAGCTAGAGCTATATCTGCTTGTACCTCTACCGACACACCCTCCATTTGCCGAGAGGCGTGCTCTATTACGCTCTTGCCAGCTGTCGTTGCTCGAGGCGCCTGTTCTTCGTCCTCCGCGAACAAACAAAATATCTCCCTCATCTGTTGATACTCACTCACCCGCGCTCTCTTTGCCCGACTCATCGTCGTGTGACAGATTAGAGGACGGCACCATCGCGATCCGATACCTCGAGAATGTCGTCAACCACCCAGACGAACCCAAGTATCGAAAGATAAACAAGGCCGATCGGTGCGTAGGAGAGCTAATGTTTTCATCTTAGTGACTAAATATCTATCATGCCTTAGACTACAGCAGTAATTCTTCTCCCTTCACTTTGATCATGAATACATACATGACCATATTGTGTTGTTTTCTGTGCTTAAGAATTCGTGTGCACCGGTCTACGGTCGAGGGGCGGGAGTGGCTGAATCATTCTCACGATAATAGCATAGGGAAGCACCGCAAGCGAAGGTGGAGAAAAAAAACATCTCCTGCTGCTGTGTGTGGCCTGCCTTGTGTGTGCCCCGGCCGACTAGTCCAGAGAAAAACTACTGACCTCTTTCACGCGCGGGACGACCTCCTCTCTATCCGTAGACCAGACGCCTCACGATGGGGTTCATGATGTTATGTGACCTGTATTGTTGTTTCTACCATTCCTCGCGTCTCTAGTCTATTATTACTACTTTGGACTGAACAGAAATATGTCCCTCTTGCGTACGTTGACGTGAGCTTGTCGACTCGTCCTTGCTAGCACTGGAGTGCTGGCGCTAACATAGACTGTTGCAGACATCTAATAAAATATTTGTATTTTGAATTGCAACACGCTTGGGGCAGGAGGTTCTCGAGCGAGGTCTGGCTCCAGCCGGGCATTAGGACGGCCTTCCTCGCCATTGGTTTTCGAGAGGACCGCGAGGCAAGTGCAACGGATCGTTCATCATACGAAGAAGCTCTGCTGCTTTGGAAGTCGTGCCCGATGTCTTGCTTTCCGTCCGCTCTTCGACCAAGCAACATCTTCAAGAGAATTCTCGGAACGTGCTCTTTACACGGAACTCATTCCAGATAAATAGAACGGGCGGCCCACATATGTCCCTAACGTTTCCCTCTCTTCTCGTCTTTCGCGCAACTGCACCCCACTCCGCCGCATCTTGCATCTCCCGCTCGAAAACGCCGCCCCATGCGTGCATATGCTGAGCCAGGAGGACGGTACGGCGGTGTTGCTGCTGGACCCTTTGACGGACCATGGTAGAAGGTGTGCCGAGTTCACTCTGGAGGTGAGTTCGTACGTGATGGTTGTGGTTTGGTGAGTTCATTGGACGCAATAAAAGGGGGATAGGTTGAATGATAAGGGACATGCTAGGGGCAGGTTGATGTGCAAACTTTGGAGCTGAAACCTGACCGCCCCTGTCGAAGAATGCCTGCATTGCGTGCACACGTTGTGGTTCGCACCCGTCAATGTTTTTTTTTTTTTTTTTTTTTTTTTTTGTTCTTCACTTTAAATCAGCACTCACAGCACTAGTGCCGTTTATTCCGACCCGTGGTCACACAGAAGAGCCTATCTCTACCCTCCCCTCCTGCGGTACTTCGCCTTCAATTTTTAATGCGAGAAGAGTTCAGCACTCTCTTCCCTCTGTGTACACACGAACTAGCGCTATCCACTTGGCCAGGAGCGGAAGCGAGAGAAAAACTCACTTTGCAAGAAAAGCTCGCCTACGCCGGGATTCGAACCCCTGACCTGACCTCTAGAAGGTTACGAGGCTACCAACTAGACCACCGGGGCGACCGGTTGGTTGGAACCAATTGGCCGATCTCGACGAGCTGTAAATGCCATCGCAGTCGCTTTGTGTTATTTGCTTGAGAGATTATAATGAGCCGCGGAGCGAGCGAAGAGGGCGACATTTTTTCCCTTCGTTCCCAGGAGGGAGAAAAATGCTCTATATATCGGTCAAAGTTGCGCCGCGCAATACAGGGGCCCCAAAACTTGATTACGGGGAAGCCTATTTAGCAGACCTCTGGGACCAGAACGAGATCTATAGGGCACCGATTGACGATTGGTTTGCTTCTGAGGAAGAAGAAAAATACCGCACTCTTCTCCACACCGGTTTCGTCGTGCTCCGAGAGCAGATGGCCGTGCTTCACTGGCATATGTAGCCTATATTCGTAGGAGATTTTGCTCCCCAACCCCGGGGTTTCTACGCGAAAAGGCGTGCACAAAAGCGGAGATCGCTCGCGCGATTCAAACCAGGACAAGAAACACCGACAGAGACGCAAGAACAACACCAACAAACGCATCACCGCTGAGACGCTGGTCTGAGACCAGCTATCAAAACCAGGAGGGACCGGGCCTATACGACCTGTGCACCGTGGGTATACTGTAGGCATGCGCCATGTGTAACCTGGCGGGCGTGTATTGATGTTGAGTGCACCCAACTGCTTCAAAAAGAGCAGACCGATGATCACACAAATAACACACCTTCCCACAAGTCCAGATCACAGCTGCCATCATCGAGAGCATCCGTCGAGGGCGTGAGGGTCTACTACTGCTGCTGCTGCGCGTTATCAGGATGGTTTCCCGCGGGATCGGTTCAGATTGCATACTTGCGCCGCGCTACTGACTGTCTTCGCAAAGAAAGCCGTGCCCTGCATGCTGTTGCTGCTGCAGGGTTGCAGCAGGGCCTCTCGGTCGCTCGCATCAAAGTCATGACGTCACATGACCATCAACGGATTTTTTTTGTTTTTGGTTCATGCTGGACTGCTTGCTTTCACTTGGGCGGGAAACTCGGAAGGCTTGAAACGAATGTGGCTGGCAAGTTGTGAGCCTGACGCAATATTGGCCATCTGTCGTGTCACAATCCTATGTCTACACTGCTGGTCGTGCTCCTCGACGGTGTGATGTGTGATACGCTCGCCGCCAGGGGGATGCCGCATGTGTGTTTCTTCCAGATGCCCAGCACATGTGCGTGTTTGCGTCCGCACAGCGGGAAGACTTCACATTTTGTTTCTTCATGCATGTGCATCAAAACGGAAAGAAACAACCGCATGTAAAGTGCAAAATTTTGAACGGTGGCCGCACATACAATCATCGTCGCTCCTGTCGTACGCCTGCTGTCCCTCTGTGGTGCAGGCGTAGCTGCACCACAAACGATTCACGCTATTGTGTGTCGGGATTCGTGCGTGCACCATCAGCATCGCAGAAAAGACTACTGCAAGGTATTAAGTCGCACCCCGCGGCTCATTACCCCCCGATACCTAGTATCAAGATCCCATCGATGCGTTGGTCCTGACGTTTGTCACTCAACGTGTGGGTACGTGAGATGCGCAAGCCTCAGTTCTCTGGCGTTGATGTTGCACGTCACGAACCTACCCCCACGCGTGCGGTTCACCGTGTCTTTGCTCGATGCCGACAGCGTCTTAAGAACATACAGGCACGCCGTCGAGGAGGTGGTGGAGTAGCGGGTGCAGCCGCGGCGGCACCGGCAGCCTCGCATCCTGATGCTGGCACCGAACCAAGGCCGCGCGAGGTAGGTGTGGAACTCTCATTCCAGAGACATCTATGGCTCTCACATGCCTCGGGCTTGAGAAAGTTCCCATCCAGAACCCAAAGAACGTATTGCGAAAACCCAGGGTTAATGGATGCAAGATCGTAGCGCGTTTTTGTCTACAGGCCTCCTGGCTGTCGTGCGTCGGCTCATTCTAGCGAAACACTGAAACAGGCATCCATCGGGCTGCTCTCGTCGACTGCCCCTTGTACTGTACACGTGCAACCCGTTCAGTGCGACTGAAATTCTATGGTTTGACTGCCCAGCGCCACAGGCTGGGCTTGGGCCTACAAATTGACGCCTCCAGTCGGGAAGGGGCGTACTGATTGCGACCGGGTAACGCCACCTTGTGCTCGGACTCCGATCGTCTCACCTATCATACGCCCTACAGGCGAGCAGGTCCGGAACGATGACCTGCGAGGCTTGCGGCAAGAGCCCACTGCTGGAGGACACGCACTCCAACAGGTAAGGGTCGCGTGAGTTGATTTGTTCTGTCCGAACGGAAGCAGAGGTTTTGCGTGGGTTGGGCCCAGGTGCGCTGCACCGCGGGCATTATCAAGGAGGCAAGGAGGCGCATTATGCATTTGACGGATTCCCGATTCCGCACGATGCACGAGTGATAGGCACCTGATCACAGGGAGAAGAGACAGGCCGAATCATTCATGGAGTTGTTGTTCACCTAGACAACCTCGCATCGGCTGATCGAAACACCAGAGGATATAAGATGGTGGCGAAGTACGCGTTCGTATGCACATCATTCGGCGTGCATTGTTGCCCTGTTCCTATCATCGCGTCTCCTCTCACGCCTCCCTCCCCTTCATGTGTGTGTTCCGACGGCGTGTTACCACGCCACGGCAGACCGGACGTCCTGTACCGTTCGCGGAGGCCGAACTTTGCCGTCACTTGCAAGGTGTGCGACGAAGAAGCTGAGATCGCGCACATTGTCAATTTTATCTGTTGGACACGTACGCTTACCGCAACATGTTTGGTGTGCGACGAAGA